GTCATCCCCTTTTATGTTCCTTTATCTCCATGCCGAACCTGTTCCAGGGTGGGGACATCCTTCCTCCTGCTAACTCTCACCCATTTCACTTTGCTATATCACATTCTGAAGTAATCAACATGTTCTTTTTATGAAGTCCATTTACTTGATGTGAGGCCGTGTAAAATTGATCTGCTCATCAATTTCAGGTGATCTTCAGAGCACTGTTCTTGCGATGCGGGATTGTGCTTTTGAAGCTAGCATTGCCCTTTCTTCTTTTTCTCGTTTGTCAAGGGGCCACACTGCTTTGACTTCTGAGTCTGGCACCATGCTTGAAGAGGTGATTTTGATCTTTTGTTGTGCTTCTTCTTTCCTCGTTTGGTCTTGTACTTAATGCTGGGATAGTGGTGCTAGCAAGGCAATATGATGAATTGTTGATCCTTGCACAAGCTGATTTTGCATTCTTTTAGCCATATGGAGACACCTCAATAGTTATGTATTAATTCCTTTCATATGTGTCACTTACTCCTCCACATAATTTATGCGGTGGGAATAGTGGAAGGTGTTTTACATCAAAGAAAATATAGGAGTATAGAACTCAGGGGCATGTTGTGCTGTTTGAGTCGAAGTAGGAGCGAGTTATTCACAGCACAGCCAGATTTTTTAAGATGACGATACAATTACTTCATTGTGGTGTTCCTGACTGATGGCAGTCTGCTCTTCAGGTTCTTGCAATAACTGAAGACCTGCATGATGTTCATACATTAGGAAAGGAGGCTTCTGCCCTGCATCACTCCCTTGTGGGAGAACTTTCAAAGGTTTTCATCTGTTCTTTAGTTTTTTTAGTTTTCGCTCTAGAAAGATTTCTCTTGCCCTCTTCTTTACTAGGATAATTCCTGGTACTAATCTTCTCTACTCTCTCCAGGCAAATGCAATTCTTCTTCCTCTTGAATCAATACTATCTAAGGACGTTGCTGCAATGACTGATGCCATAGCCAGGGAGAAAGAAACCAAGATGGATGTGTCACCAATTCATGGACAAGCCTTATACCAATCGTACTATTCGAGGATTATGGAGGCTATTCAGGCATTTAAACCCATAGTACCATCACTCACAACATCTGTGAAGGGTCTGCGCTCAATGCTAACTAGTCTCGCTCGTACTGCCGGTCTTCATGCTGGAAATCTTCACAAGGTAAAATTCATGCTTAGCTTAACTGACATCACTCTCGTTAATGTTCTCACTGACTAGATTCACTGTAGAGGTGGGATTGAATTTCCCGACCAGTTTGTAGAACGTATGTAAGTTTGGGAACTAAATGCAATACACAGAATGTGTAGATACTAAATGACAAGTTTTCAGAAACCTACTAGGCACCAACGCAACCAATTTACCCACCAAACCCAGTGGTTATCCTGGGTTGGGTTGATATATGCCATTTGATTCAGATAATTTGTCTGTCTTAGGCTCTCGAAGGATTGGCAGAAAGCCAGGAGGTGACATCACCGGAGATCAATTTGTCCAGACCTGAAGTTGACAGTGATGCAGATCAATTTGACGAGAAAGGAATAGAGCAGCTATCAAACCCGGAAACTGAAACTGCTGAGGATTTCCTTGGTGAAGTTGAGTGTAGCATGCAATACAATGGATGGGTATCCCCCCCAGATAGCATTTGCAGTAGTAGCTCGGGATCTGATGATTCCATCTCTGTTGATGCTAGCACTACAGACAGTTGTGACAATTTAGTAGACTTTACTCATGGCTCTGACGGTAGGCTGGCAACAAGTCATCTTAGTTCTGCTCCATCTTCTCAAACTGGTTATCAGGCAGCCCCCTACTCGTTGGAAATTCTGCCAAAACATGAGGCAGTGGGTCAGGGTGAAGATCAGAAATCTACGATATTGTCAGTGAGTGAAGCAATTACATCTCTCGAGACGTCACAACCTCTTAGTGAGGTCTCCACTGCGACACTTGAGGGCAAAAACGAGAACGTATCCTCTTCGAGCAGGAATAAGGTTGAGGACAATAATCACGAAACTCCTCAACCCCGTTCACATTCACATACTGGGGCTCGAGTAGCCACAGGTAACCTAATATCTGTCTCTACTGAGCTATCTCTTTGATGCCTTTCAACTACTACAACTAATGGTTCAATATGCAGCTTGAAATACTTGAGCATCAGTCAGTACTTCCTATACTTGCTACCATGAAACTTAATCGATTTAGGATGAGAATTCAAGACGATCTATGATTATTCAACACAACAAATGGTTCATTATGCAGCTTGGACTGTTTAAGCAAAACCGACAAAAGTCCTTAAATCTGTAATCAAGTTTCTGATTGTGTCTCTGGTTATGTAGGCAAGAACCCTTATGCTGTATCAGTACTAAGGCGGGTGGAGATGAAAATTGATGGCCGGGACGTTCCTGAGACCAGGTACTACTACTTGATTGTGGACTACTTTTCTCTTTTCCCGCTTCTCGACTGTAAAATTTGGATTTCCCGGCGGTTATCTAATGGAACTGTTTCCTTCTTTCCCCTCCTGTTTTCTCTTGCATTATTCAGGGAAATTAATGTCCGGGAGCAAGTCGATTTCCTGATTAAACAAGCCATGAGCGTAGATAATCTCTGCAACATGTACGAAGGCTGGACTCCTTGGATTTAAACTTTGGAATGTCTTTGTAGCCACGCTCTCAATCCAGGCATGACATTTATCTCAGGAGATGGACCTCTTGCCTCTAAAAGCTAGCCATTTTTTTTTGCATCGAGGGTCCTGCTTCCCCCTGGGCTTTCCCTCACAATACCAATTTATATTGGAGCAGAGCTTCTCCAACGGCTGCTCAGCTGTCGAAACTGCTGGTCTTTGAGCAAGAGGGCTAGCACGGAGCATTCGGGCCATGAGACACTCCGATGATATCTGTTTTTGTAGGGGCAGCTTCCTGGAGGGGAGAGAACATTCATGTTCGGTCCTCCCGTTTATCTGGTTCTCTTGTTGGTTGACAAAATCCATTTTCCCGGCGGACCAAGGCGAGAGCTTATTCATCCATGGGATTTGCTATGTTGACCAAGGCAGTCATTTCCCAGATACGGCTTGCACAAAAATATCCCCTTACAGGTAAGCCTCTCTCTGTCCCTGTCTCACTCTCTCTGTGTTCTAAATTTAGTCATCTTCTGGCCCAGCCAACAGGTTTAGATTAAACAATTGCCAATGTTTAAAATAAGAAGGAAGAGAAACTGGTTCGAATAAAGTAATCCATAAACCCATCTCCAAAATACCGGCAGCAGAAACTATGGTATGCCCAAAGTTCTCTGTGGCGCCCACTATATTCCTGTAGACTAACTAGAAATCCCAGCAGCAGCTTCCCCCATTGTATTGCTTTACCGCTTCTGCAAATCATGTGATTTCCTCCTTTATTTTTAGGTATAAAAGACCCATCTAGTATTTGCATCCTGAAAGCATCACATCAGCAACACTCTTCTCACAAATATCTTTCTTCACACAGTTTGGAGATATTTCTCACACTTTCTGGTTTGTGTTCTGTGGCTGTGATTCAGTACAAGGTTTGAGGAGTAAGGGATATTTTTTTGCTTTCTACGCGAAAGGTCGTGGTCATGTCTGGGATCATCGATATGTGGACCAGCGAAGTAGCAAGGCTGAAAGAGAATGGCCAGTCCATTTGGTCAGGTCGCTACCCTCCGAGTGCTGCTGAAAATGTGGATGAATCCAGGAAGACGGAGGAAGGTGACAAATGGGCGACGACTACTGCTGGTGTTACAGGTTTTGTCCAGAGCTTGAGGGCCGGAGTGAAGCTTCCTGCTGCTTTCCAGTGCTCCGAAGCTTCCTTGTCGATGCTTCTCGACAACTTGAGCGCTTAGAACACTCTGGTTATTCTGAATTAAGAAGCCATTGTTGGCTTTTTCATTTTAACCTTCTTCGTCTTTGCTTAGTGTGATGGTTTCCTTGTTTTGAAGAAGAGGAAAGCCCCCTGTGTAAATTATGGCCTTCCCTCGTCTCCGTGATAAATAAAAAGTTATTTACTTTGTGAGACAATTCTATGGTATTTCTAGTTGAAAGTACACGTAAAACCGTTAAGAATCCAATCTCGATTACGACTTCTCAACTTGTATGAGTTGCAGAGGCTACAGCCTACAGCATGGTGGGGAAGAATGCAGTAACTAGTGAGCAGCATTTCCGACTATACTGAATTACAGTCGAGCGCGTGTATGATAACTCTATTACAACTCGAAAACGTAGTTGGGAACTCAGTCAGATGGATTTTGGTTCTCGGCAATTTAACTCGGACAATACTTGGGAGACGAAAAGGATGGAGCACTTTGATGCGGCAAAGGAAATACACTGACACGACGAGAAATGTAACTCGCAAGCAGTATCTGAAGACCAAAAAGATGGAGGGTGGAGCTCACTCTTGACGGATTTCAGTTCCACAGAAATCTAAGGTGAAAAAACAAATGACAGCTGTGGGATTTGAACCCACGCCCTTTCGGACCAGAGCCTAAATCTGGCGCCTTAGACCACTCGGCCAAACTGTCTTAGATATCAAGTTATTGACCGACATTCTATTCATAGTTTGTCAGCCGACGAGCACTTCTTATTCAAGTGCTGGACAGCTCGAGAAATTTGGCCGGCCACCTGCAAAAGCCAAAACAGCCTCTGAGACAGCCACAGGGCCACCAAAACGTGATGCGCAACCTTCTTCCCGTCCCATTAGTATATTCATTCACAAAGATACCCCTCTTTCCAAAGGATCCGAATCACCATTCCCTCTCTTACCTGGTGGTAGTAATTCCAGCAGCAGACGTGGCCCGAAGATATTCCAGGAGTAGTGGTGCCGTATTGGTTTGGAATATCCCTTTTCTTCTCCACCTAGCCAATAATACAATTCCACATTCGTCTGGTAACAGTGTCCATCAAATCTATGGTCCAACATTCCAGATTGCGACCTTTTCCCCCACTCGTTTCCCTCTGTTCTATATAACCCTTCCCTTTGCTGGCCTTCTCTTCCATTCCTCTTCTTCATACTATTCATTCCCCTCCAAAATCGACACACAGAAAGGAAGAGAAGAGGGGGGAAATGGCAGCAGCAGTAGTGGAGACATGGGTGAACGAGCTAGCCAAGCTCAAAGCAAAAGTGGTTCGCCTCAAGAAGCCACAGGATGATGCTGATGATGCAGTAGTAGAAGAAGGAACAGAGAAGCAAGTGATGAAAGCTGCTAAAGAAAGCAGCAAAGGGTCGAACGTGGTGATGGTTCATCGTTCTGAGTCGGACATCTGCAGTACGATGTCCGAGGATACTGTGCGCTTGATCATGGACCGCTTTGTGCCCTGGTGACCATGGCGTTCGGACCCTTTTCCATTCTCTCTGCAAGTTTTTACTTCAATGTTGTAGCTTCTGTTTCCTTTGTTATATATGGTGCAGACTAGATATGTCAGATGTATAAAGATTGTATAGCATTAGTTCTTTGGTAATGTATATATATATATCATAAGGGTAAGGCTTTAGTGTATTCTGTGAATAGGGAATGCTTTCTCTTCCTTGGCTCTTCTATTGAGAATTGACAGTAGATGAGAGCTAAGTTATGTTTATAGGGATTAGTGAATAAGGAGCTACATCACCTGGAAAAATTTGGAGCTAACAAAAACAGAGTGATGTTGACAATTTCCCCCTGTTTAGTTCAAGTCAAATGTTCCAGAAACTGCTTGCAGAAGAAATATCTTGAACTGGGCAGCCAGGGAAAGCCTCCGGAAATGCCAAGATCGGATAAAGTTTCGAACTTTACCTATAACTCAAACAAGATGCAAGCTTTTAGTTAAAAAAAAAAAACTCTGAATTTGGAAGAAACCTGCAGTTAGAGAAGAAACTTTATATACTTGATCATAATGCCAGAACTCATATTTCTGTATGGATTACAACATTTCGTTACAATGTTTCACTTCTCTCTCTATAATCACTTAACAACCTCAGACTCCTCGACTATACAAATAAGAGTGAGGTAATCACAGGGTATAATATTCACAGCACAAGTGAACTCTTTGAAACTAAAGCTCTCTCTTGAGGCCCTTCTGTTCTTGAGATCGATCTCTACCTCTATCATGCAGATGAGCTTGCTTCCATGCTTGTAGAAGATGTCTCGTTATTATTGTTCAAGTCAAAAGTTTCTTCCTCCCACTTCATAATCTCCCTAGCGTAACGAAAAGCTTCATCCACATTATCGGCTTCCAACCCAGTAATCAGCGAGACATAAAGCTTCTTATCAGTGAGGGAAGCGTAGAATCTCTTGAACTCCATTGCAATGTACTGGAAAGCACGGTGAGCCAAGGAAGGGTTAGTAATTCTGCTTCTGCTGTTAGCTGGATCATGTCCAATCACCGGGTCCCAGTCTTTGAACCATTCACATCGAGTGAGTGAGACATGCTCGATTTTTTGCCTCGAGCAGGTCGAACTTGTTCAACACGAGAAGGAACTTCTTGTCTTCGAATTTTGGATGAGTTACCATGGTTTCAAATAGATGCTTTGTTGCCATCATGTTGTTGGTGAGGACTCCATCGCTGTCTTCAGTGAACTTATCATAATCGGTCATGGAAACACAGAATAGAACCATATCAACATCTTCGAACATTTGCAGCCATTTGCAGTTTCCTCCCAGGGTTCTTGGATGAGCTCTGATGAGCTGGTACCTGAAATGGTAAATATACATGGGTTACAGGAATTTCAAATGAGTTTTAGTTGGGTCAGGTGGGTGGACAGGGTTTAGCTAGCTCTACTTTATATCAGCTGCTGGTGAACAAGATGAATAAAAGAGGCTAACCTCTGTGATGGATCATGCTGATAACCAATGTGGTCACAGAGATCTCGAGGTGACTTGGGGAATGTAAACTCCATGGACGATAGCCCTCTTGATGAAGTTATCCCCTCGGCATACAATATGTCCATGTCAGATGGCTCATAATCCACCATTGCAATATCGGCAGCCTGATCAATACCAACATGCCAATCCAATTCTTTAGAAAAAAGAATTGAAGTACTTTTTCCTGCCACATGCTATTGATGTAATTGTAGAATTGCAGGAACTAAAATTTCTAGCTTGTTCTTACTCGTTCTAGGAAGTAAGTTGCATTTCTTGGAAGAGATGGAAGTTCATCCCTTCTATTGTATGTGGCTTGAATGGCAGCATCTTTCCACAGTTCCTCAACATAAGGTCCATATTCACGAGTGGAAGCTGGGAATATGGTTTCCAAGTTTCCAGTAATAATTACTTTGAGAAGCCAATCTGAGAATGATTTCAGTCTCGGACCAATTGAGTAAATGGTTTTAGTATCTATCTGACCTGCAATATCACCACAATGTATATATTCTTGCTTTAGAATCTATGTGAGATACTAATTCATCTTAATCCCGAAAAGAGAACGAAACTTTCAGGGGAGAAAGAGGGTTCACTCTACCTGAAGAACTGCTTTCGCCAATGGGGTGTTCCCTCGTTTGGGCCAAACATTCTTCTTCAAAACGTTCACGTCCCTCGAGAAGTATACCAATATATCCATACAAATTACTTTGGATTATAGACTTGATACTTTCCCTCTCATCTTCAGAGAAAGGAACATTGTAGATGATTTTCGCCTGAAACACAGAACCACACCATTCAACAATAAAGTATATAGCAGATTAATCGTGAGACAGTTATTTGTTTTAGGAATAAATCACGAGACAGTTTTTCCATGCATCTCTTAGTACTTGTTTGAAAATGGTGCTCGTTCCAGACTTTCTGTTGCCGACTAGAAGCAGCTTCTGTAACAACTTCTGCTCAAGGCCCTTGGGGAGAATGGTAGCACCATTTCGCTCTTTACTCACAGAGCCATTGGAATCAAGAGGCGTTGGCAACGACAAGAGAGTACAGATTACCTTTGCCCCAGGCTGCAAAGAACAATGTTGCCATGATCAAATAGAAGTTTTGAGAATAAAGGTGACAACTTTAAACAGAAAAAGAACAATAGGCAACAAACCTTGTCCCATATTTTTCCTTTCACATTTTTCATGCCCTCTTCCTGATATGAACCATCTGCACTTACCCAAAAGCTATTTGTTCCATCACATTTCACACCCAACAACTGCACACATTCAACAGAAAAAAAGACATTGATTGAAATTACATGCTTAGAAAGAATCGACAATACACAGATTAGACAAGATTGTTTTGAGCATAAACCTGCAGCATCAGTAGCTCCGGTTTCGTAATTTCACGATTGTTTATGAGTATGCCGGTGTCTCCCTTGCTAGCATCCCGCCTCATGTGACCACCAATGTTTAACTGGTCACTGATTATCTGGCAAGGCTTCTCTCCTTCCTTCCCCCAGAAACCAGACACTTTATCATACCAATAGTACCCTGGTTTCAGCTTCCTCGGCGGGTGAGCACTGGTTTGCAACAACACCAGCTCCTCCTCAGAAAGATACTGATCATTAATATACACAAGTTCTGGCGGCAATTGATTCACATGACAACATTTTTCAGAAGTCATTATATTATTGATTTCCATCTTAGGCAATAGCTGTCTCAGCATTCTAGAACTCTTCCCCATATTCTTTCTTCTAGCCTCGTCGATCCTTTGACCGATGCAAGTCACGCATTTCCTACCTTCTGGCATTGACCCCATTGCTCTCAGCACACAACCAGAACAAAACTTTGCACCACAGACAATGCAAACCTCCTTCTCGTTGAACCTATTCCCTTTCATGCAACGATAACAAGTTCCTTTCTTCCCAGGCCTTACAGCAGGAGTTGGCCTCCCCGGGATGCTGCTTTCAGCATCAGATGCATCATCGAAATCTTCATCTACGACAACATCGTTCGAGTCAGGATCACGGAATGTTACAGCCGATGGTCTCCTCACGTGGCGAGCAGCAGCTTCATCATCAGCACACTCGTCCTCATTGCCCGAAAAGATTTCGGATGAAACTGAACATGAAAACGAGTGAGATTTTGTTGACTCCCCAACTCCAGGGCTTGCACAATCTTGCAACTCTCCAGCTGGTTCATCCTTATCCTCGTCGTCTGGTATTTCCACAATCTCTGAGTTCCCAGCTGTTACTGAAGATTCAGGATGATTGTTGAAATCATCAGCTGTACTGAATAGTTGAGGCCAGCCAGCAGATTCTCCTTCTTGGAGCTCCTTGGAGAGCTTCTTGCTAGGGAGAGTGGACTTGACAATAGGCTGGATGATGGGCACGGCACCTAATCGAGACGCTGAAGCAAGTGTTGACGCCAGTGGGATTTCATCGACGTCGACTGGCACAACTCGAGGGATGTTGTATGGAAGAGGAGGACCAGAGTACTCAACAGCAAAAGAGTAGCCAACCTTATCGGCATACTCATCTTCATCATCATCATCATTAGGTTTAGGAATTGTTGTTGCAACAGGCATAACCTTTCTCAAAATCCCAGGCACCATTCCGTAAGTAGTTTGAGATTCCAAGCTTTACAAGAAGAACACAAAGAACAATTCTACTACTTCCTCATGTTTAGCACAAAGAAACGAAACACCTAACTTGAGATATTCCCATAAACTTCAACAACCTCACCAACAATGGTGAAGCTCCAGAACGCAATTTGCAGAAAGATGAACCACTAATTCAAAATTCCGCTGGAAACCCAGATAGCAAAGACGGCTAATCCTACCAACCCAGTAAGCAAGAGGATCAAACTTGGACCAGAGTCAAATCAATTAAGGAGCTTGGCAAGAAGGGCAAGAAAACAAAGAACTCTGAATTGATAGTCAAAGCAAGGATCCCCCACCTAACAAGTCAAGCTGCAAAATGCTGGAGTTGTAGCTAGCGAAAATGAAAGCCCTGATCAGGAGGACGAAAGTCAATAGAGAAGAGGCTGCGATAAGAAAGGCTTCGACAACTCACAGTTGAAATGCTTTGGAGCGCAGAAATGGCGGAAGGCCAGAATCAGACTGTGAGCATATCGAGCCGTCTTAGCACTTTCTGGTAAACGCGGGAGAGAAAGAGACTTGAGAGGAGAAATGGCCTGCAGGCGGGGGACGACATGGTGTAGAGGTATTTTTATTTTTTCCCCATTTACAGTTTGTTCCTTTATTAAAAAAAAAAAAAAAACTTCCCCATTTGATTTCTTATCTGCTCCCTGGGGTATTTTTTTTCTACGTCAACGCGTTGAAGGTAACCTGCTCGGAAGTTGGAACGCAATGGCGGCCATAATACCGACGAGGGGCCGTAGGTTTCGCGCCCTGTGTTGCCGGTGGTGGTGGGGATTGCTTTTGGGCTTTGGCGCCTCCTTCCTTCCCCTGCTGCTTTCTTTTCTAGTTTTCTTTCTTCCTTGCTTTCTCACTGTTAAACAAAAAGACCCACAAACCGATACATCCGTTCAACCTGAACCAATTCATCGATATTTATCGGTAAAATTAAGGTTTAACATTGAATGAGTATTTTCTTTTGTGACACACGCTTCTTTTGAGTTGGGTGTGGATTTTGGGTGACACAATCTGTAGAATCTGACTCAACTCGTGTTCCAATTATTTGTGTTATTTTTCGTATACAAAAAATATTTTTGTTGTATATAAGCATATTTTTCAGAAATTGAGATATTTTGCTATATTTTTCTCTGGTCTCCCTAGTCCCTAACCTAATGCATTCTTTGACTCAAAGTTTAGGCGTAGATTTAATATTAGGCTATGATTCGTGTAATCGTTTTTCTTATGTAAAATTTTAACTTTGGGCTAATACCACTAGGAAACCCGAACTATTAACAAAGTGTCATTTGTGTCCCGAACAATTCAATATTCTATTTATGTCCCAACGTATGATAGTTGTGTGTTATTTATGTCCTCACGATTTCGTTAACCTTAATAGAAAATGGTTGACCAGACAGTGGTCAACTTGATGTTGACTTAAGAGCGGAATCGACGGAGCGATTAAGACTATTTGGGGATTTTTGTAACTTTTTATTTAACTTATTTTAGTCATTTTAGATGAAAATATAAATACAAATTAATATTTAAAATTCCAAATCAGATGCCACGTTGACACTAACTCTAACTGAATTTGTTGTTAAATATTGACGGTCAAACTCAATCAATGCTAACGGTAAAATAGTTCAGAACCTAAATGTAATATTAAATAGTTCGAGACACAAGTGACACTTTCTTGATAGTTCGGGTTTCCCAGTGGTATTAGCTCTATATCTTTTAAGAGAATAACATATTATAGATGTGTTCGTTTATAACCTTTTTAGTATATTTCTAAAAATGCTTGCGAAAAAAATAGACATATGTTAAAACAAATTGTATTTTATTAAAATTCAAACAATATTTATGCATTTTGATACTTTTCACTTTGGTTTATTCGTTTGAAATTTTAATTAGTTATATAATACTTTATGGTGTAGAATAATTGTTTTTGTGTTGGGTTGGGTTTTTACTTAAAAGTATCACCAACTCGACCCAACCCAATTATAAACAAACGGTAGGATTTTAATTCTTTTGTTAGTTTAGATTTAATATTTTTAAAATCGTAGTACATAAGTCGGTAATTAAATAGCTAAATTCGGATAACCCGACCCATGTACACCCGTACTCACTATCTTCCTCTCTCTCTCACTCTCCATTTGGCTCTTGGAATTTTTACAATTTACTACACCAATTTGTCCCCTTAGATCCTATCGTTTTACTTTACGAGAAAGGTGTAAATGTGGATTTGCTTTCGAAAACTAAATCGAGACTATCTCACAGCAAACTTACCCTTTTGTCCCCTTCCAATCGACACGTTCTTCCCCCATTTGTTCCAACCAATCAAGCAATTGTTGGAGTTTTTCTTATAAAACCACTATAAATTCACACAATCAAACTGACATCGAAAATTTTCTTTTGTCACATGAATTGACCAGGTGGAGATTTCGAACCCTATATAGGAGTTGAGGTTTGGATAGGGTCGATTCACCGCTACTTCCTCGTTACCGTCCTCGGCTCTCTCTTTCTCCCTTTCTTTAATTAGCTTGAAGCTATGTTGAGATTCCCTTATATAATCTTGTCAAAAACATAAAATGTAACCGGGGCGGGAGGGGGAGAGGAAAATCTCAACCTCTAAAAGCATACGTCTTTGGTCTACCCAAGTATGTAATATCAAAATGAAGAAATAAGATAATTTCGGGATATTAGGGTTGAAGGCTATTCATTGATTCATTTAGTGAGATGTTAATATGAAATGATAAAATGAACGATGCTCATGCAACTTGCTTCATGTTTTGGGTTTTGTCGGCGTTGATTTAGTCTCGTTTGGAGCAGCTATTATATTTTTGTCATTGCCCGACCGACATAGCATTTCCAGATGTTTTAGTGAAGTGCTACTAGATGAGAGCCAACATAGATTTTAAGTTTGTTCGACTTATACGTGAGATGGAAAAGAAGTGAAAAACAAAGGTAAAAGGGGGTTAGAACTTAGAAGGAGAGGTCATATGATTATTCATTTACTCTGGCTAAGTTTAATTTCTTTCTAATGAAATATCCTTTTTTTATTTAAGTTACTTGGAATAAAAATGTTGAAAATTACATGTTGGCAAGTTAACACAAAAATGTCACAGTAGTGTATTTTATTATATGTGTCATGTAAAATGACTATATTTGTCACGAAGTTCCATGTTTTGGTTATATATTTGTCTAAACTAAATCACATATCTAATTTAATATTTAAATTATTGTTACTTGAGTTCCGATTTCATAATTAATTTCTTTCTATGAGATAACTTCAGGTAAAATATAAATATGAAAGCGTCAATACCAAATATATTTCTTGATTTTAATCAATGAAATTGTAATAAATATTATTAAGATAAATTGGCACAATTAATAAAATAACATTTCTAGAATCACTCTCGACCATAAATTTCCAAACTAATTTAAGACCATAATTACAAATAAAATATTACAAGAAATCATGAATTGTGGAAATTTAGGGCAGAATATAGTTCCAAGCGTCCCCTAAATGACTGGCAAGTGAATTTGCAAAACATTTCCAATTTCCAATTAAAGAAAAAAACCAAGTGAATTTGCAAAACATTTCCAATTTCCAATTGGCTCCATAGCAACCTTCATGATAATGAGAGGGGTACCGAGTTTGGTATCATTTGCTGGAATATATGGAAGGAAAGAAATGAGGAGGCTATGGATGGCCGTGTGTACTCTGAAGCAGGTCTTATTCAAAGAATTGAAGCTAGTTCCAACATTCACAGATTTGCTGTCATTAATGCAATGAAAATCTGCAACTCGGGGGTTCCAACGAGGGAGGTCAACTTCATCTCATGGAAGCCACCAAAGGAGGGATGGGTTCAAGTGCAAGTGATGGAAGCTTCATGGCATCAACTGGCAACGCTGCAGCAGGGGCTCCTCAGAGACCATTTGGGAAGATGCTCTGACGCTTTCGTTGCCAATCTTGGGTCATGCTCAATCACAAGAGCCGAACTCAGAGGGGCTTTGGAAGGGCTAAGGATTGCTTGGCGAAGAGGCTTCAAGAAGATACAGCTTAACTTGGACTCTTTAACAACAATCAATATCATTAAGAACTGGGCGGACAATGACCATAACCATGGTTTGATTGCTCAACAGATTGGTGAACTCCTAAGTAGGAGATGGGAAGTGAATGTCTGTCATATTTATAGAGAAGCAAATTTTGCTGCTGACTTCCTAGCGTCCAAGGGTCATTGTGTTAATTTTGGCACACATCTCTTCGATGTGTGCGACCCTGATCTCAGACACTGGCTTTTGTACGATGTTAGAGAAACCGCCCAAAAGCGGGGTATTTTAATATAAGCTGGGGATGCCTCTGCATTCGTCTTTTTACCCCAAAAAAAAAAAAGCCAAGTACGTTTGGGCTATCCATAAAAACAAAAAGAGCTTTTCGTAATGAGCCCTTTGTCCAGGAAGCTTATATTAAGTCGTTTGCTTCATGGATTTGAAAAATGAGGGTTTTGGTAAAACTTGGGTTTTGGAAAACCATGGATATATGATGGATTTGGTGGCATTATGGATTTGACCAAGTCTATTGTTTGCTTGTTGGATTTGATTATAGATTTTGTTTGAATAGATTTGTGGATATGAAATTCAAATTACCTTGTTACCCTTATCTTATCTAATTATATTTCTATATTATAATCCATAAATTTCATTAAAAAAATCCAACGCATACAATGAAATTTTAAACTCTTTACCACTATGTGGACTAATAATTCAACTACAAATATAGAAATGTATTATAGTTTGGCACTAATTAACAACTCATCTAATAATGTACGCAATATTATGTATCAATTGCAACCAATTGCTCGCTTTATTGCTACAACTCATCAACTTCTTGCTAACTCCCAGATTTTGGAATCCGACAATCAATCAAATAATAATGCACAAGATGAGCTAAGATGTTTATAGTTGAATCTAACAAATCACATATACATTCATATTTAAATAAACTATGATATTACAAAACGAAATGAAAAAGTCTCATATATATAATATACGACATTATAAAAGTTTATAATTGCATGACCATTGAATTAAAGTATGACAACTTTGTAATTAAAGTAATAAGTAATGGTAGAAAGGTAATTTACCATCATGGATTTTAATCCATCACCCAAATCCCACCTCAAGAGGTGGAACTTCCAAGTCCGTGGGGTCCACGGATTTGGAACCCCAAAAGTGGCGGGACCCACAAATTCCATCTCCCTGATTTCCTGAGGCAAACGATGAATTTCCGTTAAAGTCCATGATGAATAGATTTCCATGACCAAATCCATCACCAAAACGCTCAAGCAAACGATCCTAAGTTTCATTTTGCCCCTACCAGCCCACGAAAGTAAAAAGCCCATTACTCAAACTTCAAAGCTCAAATCCAAATTCGTCTTTCTTGTTCAGGAAGTCGTCCCGTCGCCGCCGAGCACCGGAAGCGCTTAAAACCCAGAGACCCATCGACAAAATTCCTTCTCCGTTCACCAACTTACCGGAAAGAAGAATAATGGAATTCATAACCGAACCAGGCAAACAGCCTCACCCAGACTGCTCCACCCTCATTCTGGTAAGGGGTAACTCTCGCTCCATCTCCTCCATTTCTTTTCTTGCGTTAAATCAGTTCGAAATGCCTACCACTTTACCCTCGTTTCTCACTGGACTCACTGTTTGGATGCCGAGAATATCGAACGACTAGCTGACCTTCCCTCTCGCAGATTGTAATTTGTTCTGATTTTACACGCACTAAGAATTTCTGTTTTTAGAAGTTAGGGATTTTTCTGAGCGTGAACCGTGCTTAGGAACGAAGAACTGCCAGTCTAGGTATCCACTGACTAGCTTACTTGCTTTTGTGGTTTTGGGTTGATAGCCGGCATTGTCAATTGGGAACGTCGGACAGTTAGCGGTGGATCTCCTGGTGTCGTCTACCCGAGCTGAGAGAATTGGGTATTTGGATGATCCCTACACCCTTCCTTGTGTGGGTAATGATGCTTATGGCCCCATTCCTTCCGGGGACCTTGCCCTCCCTCTCGAAGGTGATCGATCATCTTTCTCCATTTCTCTCCTATGTTTCCTTCGTGTGGCCGGTTATGTTAATTGATCGAAGCAGTGAATGAGAGAGCCTTTGTTTTCCAATTATTTCTGCAGCTTATCAATCACCTGCCAATGCGATGACTCTAGTGCAGCAGCGATCCCCGGTTGTTAAGGTGCAGTTGTCGAATTAGGATGTTCTCTGTTATACTTGTTGGAGTCTCTCTCTATGAGATTCCAATGGTGTGTTATTGTCTCCTGAATGTTTTGAGTGCTAACAGGGAATGATGGTTGAATATGCCAAGAACTTGGCTGAGTTTGCTGCTGCTAGTGGGAAGAAGCATGTGGTTGTTCTTTCTAGCTTAGAGTTTTCAAGATGGCAAAAGATCGATATGTCAAGGTATGTTCTTCGGCCTACTCTTGTATCAAGTAAAACTGAACAGTAGAGAGGGTGTCTGTCTGTGTGATGTCCTTTAAGTTGTTATCTTTTGGTTCAAACTTGAAAATTAATATTCTTTCTAAAGATTAAGCTCTCTCTTGGTAAAACAAAGTAAAATATGGAATCTCTCCAACCCAACTTAGTAGAAGGTAGATTGCTTAGCATGGGAGCTGGTGATATTGCCATCCCTGCACATGTTAAGCTTAAAAGAAATCTGCTTTTTTTTTCTTTTTCTGAAGTTTGTTATTTATCAGTGGGTTGCAGATATACTACCTCTCTAGCTCAAATACAGATGGAACAGATGATTTCTGTGCAAAACTTGGGTGGCGAAGGCTGCAGGATTATGATCCTACACAGAGAACTTGGAATTACCTCAGCAGCTTAGCTCAAGGCAGCACCATGCATGACAGCACCTTGCCTTTTGAAGATGAACCAGAAGAAGAAGATTATTGCGCGAGTCTACCTTTTGCGGCTCTTTTTTCCTGTCTGAAGGTATTTACTCGGGATCACATGCTTTAGACAAATGGCCGCCTATTGAGTATTGAGGGTCATGTAGGATTCTAACTTGCTCTGTAGTGCTGGTGAAAAATGGATTCATCTAAGTGCCCAACATTCTGCTTTATTCTATCAGGCGAAAGGTTTGAAAGTCACATGCATATTGTGTTACTGTTCTGAGGGAGACAACATGGCCGATTCTTTCGAGTTAGCTGAGGCAGCATCCAAGCTCCTGCAACTAAAACCTGATAATTTCATCGGTGAGTTCTTTCGAGTTCAACTCAACTCTTACTTTCACATGTCAAGTGAATAATGGCTATCACCATGACTACAATCATGGCATGAACTCTGCTGTTAACCGGCTGTCTGTTTTGCATTGTCTGTCTTTCAGGGGGTGATGATGGCAAGTGGTGCATCCCGTTTTCGTGGAAGACTGTGTACGGACCACCTCCAGATTTGTCGATGTTTTAGTTGTGTTATGCGTTACTAGATTATGCGAGGCTTTCATGATGAAGGAAAAACCAAAGAAACAGAGAAGAATACTTTTAAGGAGGCGCATGGTTGGGTTGTTCTCTCAATCCCATGTTTATTGGATCTTGTCAAGCTGCAACGATCTCTGTTATTGTACTGCTGTGGAATCACGCAATTACGCAAGTGACTTCTTGTCAATGGTTCATAGTTCTTCATGTCGGAAACTGAACGAAAGCAAAAGATCAAGGACCGAATTTCATCTTTGGCCGCGAGTTAAATTTTGATCAACATATTCTAGTTCCTAAACATTGAACTTCACACTTACACTTTGAACTTCACTCTTATTTTATTATTTATTATCATTTCTCATTTAAGTATGACATTTGATACAATTGTTTGGGATTTGGGATCATGGGAAGATTTTAGGAGATATTGCTAAATTAAAAATAAATGTTAGGTAGAATGTCAGTATGTTTTCGAATATCTGTGGATAATACATGTATGTACATATAATATTATTATACATCGAATTGATACAATAAAATTTACTAAACATGTGTATTTTTTTTTACTATAACATCAATTAGACATAATAAACCATAAAATCAACAAAGATATAAAGGTTGTTAGTTCAAAACAATCCTGCAAACAGACTCAGTGACTGCCAAGACCCTGATTGAGAATGCGACCGAGAGACATATGCACTTCTCTCTGATCAGTGAAATTAGGAGGAGACTGCAACGAGACTGGACGGTTCGAATCGACCACATCTTCCGCGAGGCGAATTTTGCAGCGGATCACCTAGCGTCTATAGGACATTCGGAGACGATTGGAGTTCATGTAATGGCTAGACCATGTACTTCTCTGCTGTACTGGCTGTTTTTTGACCGGATGGGAATTGAAACCCCCCGGCTAGTTAGCATGCAATAATAGTTTGGGCGCACTCTGCGCCCTGTTCTTACCAAAAAAAAAAAACAATCCTGCAACATATATTAGACCATAAGACAATCACTATTTTAACATCTAATCATTAAATATTTTGAACATATATTATTTGTAGGACTACGAGTGTTTGTATGAGTATGGGGAGAGAGGAGATAAAACCATATTAACCCCATCACCATCATTTTTTTATGGGTTTTACTGATACCCCGTGCCATACATAGTCAATGCAAAAATTCCATGCATTGTTTGGGTACCCACGATTAAGATTATTCTCCGATTCGATTCAGTTATAATCATTAACCATTTATTTGGTTATCGATTAACCGTTAAGTAAACTTTGATTACAGTTAACCGCATCATGTATATTAGTCGGTTAACCAACTAACCGTTTAGCAAGTGATTCAGCAATGTTAGACTAAAATAACCAATTGGTAGCTTAACCAACAAAATGTCTCCCTTATTTTCAATTGTGCATTTTTCCCCCTACATATGTATGTGTTCTTATTTTTGAATATTTTCATAAACAATTTGGATCTGGCTTGTTGTTTTTATTGGGGCAGCGAGAATAAAGGAAAAAGAGGAAGGAGAAAAGTGATGAGTGCGAACGAATGAGGGAAACCATTGACGAAAGAATTTGGGAGGCGGTCTTTGCTATCTTTCCTCCAGGTTAAGTCATAAGATGCCCCAAATCCAATCTTGATGCCTTCATGTCAATTGCATAAATCGGCTTGTACTCTTTGCCTCTTTCAAGTTTAGGGTTCACATTGTGAGGAAAGTGGACAGAAGAAAGGGTTAGCACGGCAACGATATTGTTTGTTCCAAGTTCGATAATTTTTTGGAAGGAACATGACCGTTTTTCTGGGGAAAGAAAACATCAACATTTATATTCAATTCACGTTTAATCGACTTTTTTCAGTTATCGATTATGCTGAAAGTCATTTCAGCCTACCAATAACCATACCGCTAATTTTTAATCGTTCGACAGTGTAACAATTTATCATCAATTATCAGCTAAGTTATCGGTATAACCGCCAACTCAGTAACCGAATATCACCCCCTAACCTTGATAGTGGATTAATGGCCATCCTACCCACAAATTTCAGTGGGGGCCTCCGTGTACTGAAGTTCATAACAGCAAAATAAATATGTTCCTATGTTTTTTTTTTTTACTTTATTCATTTGAATTTCTTAAAGGACCCACGAAATTTGAGTGGCTAAGATCGGGGAAAATAATCAGCATTTTGATGTCGGCACAGCAGCTCAGATCACTAATTGCCAGCTCATTGGATATAATAAACATTTCAAATCCGCCAGTACCACGAAAAATATCTAAAAGTAGACTGTTCCCAGAAAGAATATACTTCAATTTTTTAAAACCCAAAAAAATGGAGAGGCGTTAAACGACGTTGAACGAAGGAAGAAAAGCTGGTAAAACGACAAGCACAGCGAGTAGAGCGGTATCGGCGCGAAATTCGTGATTGCCACGTGGCGAGCAATTACAAGCCCGCCGGAGTATCGACGTGCCAGTAATCTCCCACGTGTCAGCCTCCGATCCAACCGTAACCAAATTAAACAAACACCTAATCACTTAAATTAAACCCTACTAAATCCAAATGACGGAAATGATCGGAGAGCTCTGCTCTGCTGTCTCCCATTATATTTAGTCTCTCCTCGAATCGCCACTTTCGCCACATTACTCCTCTCTGGCTATTTCCCTCTCTCTCTCTCTCTCTTTCCTTTCTTATTCGACGACTTCCAAAAGCCATGGCGAAGAAGAGCTTCTTTGAGATGAAGATCGACACCGCCAGCAGCTACGGCAGCGACTTGCTCGCCTCCGATTTCAACGAGCTGGCGGCCGCTGCCAAGAAGCTCGCCATCCACGTCGGCATGGTCGGCGGTTTCGCAACCAATTTTCTCCAGTGGCTCGCTGCTATTTCCGCCATGTAACTACGCTCTCCCCTGTTTTTCTTTCTCCCCGCTTTTTCAAAAAAAAAATTCCCCTTTCTCTGACTCGATTGGTGCAGCTATCTACTGGTATTGGATCGAACGAACTGGAAGACCAACATTCTGACCGGATTGCTCATCCCCTACATCTTCTTCACCCTCCCTTCTTTCCTCTTCAACTTCCTCCGGTAAATTAAATCGTTTGATTCGCAATAACTCGAGTTGTTAACAAAGGGTTCGTGTGTGATGCTTAACCACTTTTTTCGTTGCGATTTATGCAGAGGCGAGGTTGGGAAATGGGCTGCACTCGTTGCGGTCGTACTGCGCCTCTTCTTTCCCGAACGCTTCCAGGGTAATGCTCTGTTTTCAGTGAAAAAATTTAGAATCTGCCCATTTTTTTACCCAATTCGAATTTAGAAACTGAGGATTTTCAACTCTGGTTTTTTTGGGCAGAATGGCTGGAGATGCCGGCGGCGTCGATTCTGCTCATAGTGGTGGCTCCCAATCTGATCGCTTCCACGCTGAGGAACAATTTCGTTGGTGTGGCGATCTGCCTTGTGATTGCAGGGTACTTGCTGCAAGAACACATTAGGGCGTCTGGTGGGTTCAGGAACTCGTTCACCAAAGCCAATGGGATTTCCAACTCCGTTGGGATAGTGCTGCTCTTCGTTTATCCTGCCTGGGCTTTGATTACTAATATCCTCTGATTCCATGGAAAGTGGAAAAACCCAATCCACAAAAAGGGGCAGGAGTTGTTTCTCCTTTTCTACTGTAATACTTAATTAATGGGTAATAAAAGATTGTTCATTTTCTTCAATTTTTTGTGCATATTTTCCCATACAACCCTATAATTATGAGAGAAAGAAATCTTGGCGACCGCCAAAGCTAAGAACCACGTTATGACTAATCCTCTCCGTTCGTATTTTTTTATTGACTTTTTCTGACCCTTTAGGTTGGGGCGGGTCGGGAAGAATCGGATTAGTGAGTCGGTCCTAATCAAATGGGATCCCAATCCCTTCACTCTCACTTGCTTTCTCTCCCATTCCACAAGTGGATAATATACAGTAATCCAGCCAACGGGTCGGGTAATAAGCTAGTTCTTTATAAATTTGTCTAGTCGGACCGCAATCTAAACGGTTTAGAGTAGATCGTTTAATATCAAGCGAACTATGTAGTGGTTCGCTTGACACTGGAACGAACTACTCCAAACTCTCTTGTGAGTTTTTTTTTTTATTTATTAACCCTACTTTTTTTTTTTTTTTTGAAATTTTCCCCTTTATAACTGTGAGCATCTACATACTACTAATAATTCACTATGCATTTCTATTCCCTCATCTTCCATGCTTCTAATTCACTTCATTTGCATGCTACCAAACAAAATTATAAGGAGACCGTCATTTATTGCTATAGTTGTTGACTTGTTGTCCTCTTTCACGTAAAGCTCCATATTACTGAAGCCCACGAGCCCATACGTGGCACCAGCTCATTAATGGGCCCGCAATTTTTTTCCAGTGGATAGGATTAAGAAATAATTAATGTCGGCTAAACCGCAAGCTCATTGGCTGCATTACCTAAACATTTCGCAAGCAGCCAAAAGATTAAGACTGTTCAAAAGAAATTAAACCAAAACGGCCCAAAATGGAGAAAACGTAAACGAAACGAACAAGCGCGAGAAAGGAGAGTTAATTGCCACATGGTGAGCATTTACAAACAAGGCGCTGAAGATGGCGCCAATAAATTCCCACGTGTCGTTCACTGATAAGTAGAATATATCAGTCCTCGATCCAGCTGTCGTAATTAACAAGTGATTAATCAAAGTAATTAACCCTGCTAAACAAAGCAATAAGCACGTACTAATCCATCCAAAGAACACGAGGGGTCAAGTCAAAGAATCGCATCTCGCTGTCCGTCTGCCTACCAATTTCTCGAATCCTCCTCCCAATCCCACCGGCGCTCTCTGGCTAAGAAGAACAAGAAGGAGAAGAAGGTTGAGCTATGGGGAAGAAGAGCTACTTAGCGATGAAGATCGACGGAGGAAGCAGCAGCTTCGGCAGCGACTTAATCGCCTCCGATTTCAAGGAGCTGACGGCGGCGGCGAAGAAGCTGGCCATCCATGTCGGGATTTTCGCCGGTTTCGGAACCTCTTTCTTCGAGTGGCTCGCTGCTATTGCCGCTATGTAAACGCCACGAACCCAATTTCCCCCCTTCCTCTTCCTTTTCCCCCCAACTTGTTCTGTGTATCGTTTGAAATCTGATGATGAAATTTGATTTTGATGCAGTTATCTACTGGTGTTGGATCGAACGAATTGGAAGACCAACATTCTCACTGGGTTGCTCATTCCTTATATCTTCTTCACCCTCCCTTCTTTCCTCTTCGGCTTCCTACGGTAACAGTTCAAATCACTCTCCTTCTCTGCTCTTGATTCTGTCATGTTGATTGTTGACCAGTGTTTTGATTCTGTTGATTCCACAAATTTATGCAGAGGGGAGTTTGGGAAGTGGGTTGCAATCATTGCAGTTGTACTCCGCCTTTTCTTCCCCAGCCGTTTCCCAGGTATGAAATGGCTGCTGCTGTTTTTGGAATCAGAAGTCACATTTGTGGCTAATTTGAACTTAAAGTTGAATTCTTTATGACTGAACTTGTTTTGCTAGATTGGCTTGAGATGCCGGGTTCTTTGGTTCTGCTCATAGTGGTGGCTCCTAGTTTCTTCGCTTCAACGCTGAGGGGCAACTGGATTGGAGTGGCCATATGCCTGCTCATTGCTTGCTACTTGCTGCAAGAACACATTAGAGCATCTGGTGGGTTCAGGAACTCGTTCACCAAAGCCCATGGTGTCTCCAACACCGTCGGGATAATCCTCCTCTTCGTTTATCCAGCCTGGGCTTTGATTGTTGGCGTCGTCTGATTCGATGATGATGATGATGAATCCACGGTTCAATTTCTGCTTATTATGTTAGATCCGCCATTGATTCGAGATCGAAATGCTTGCATTATTGTATTGTTGTTTGTCCATATTTGTTACTGTACTTACTGTAATAAACTAAAAAGGTTCTGCATTTTTATTGATCACACATGGTTTTCTTTCCTTTGCTTGTAAGTCTAGCCCCTCAGAGTGCTGCAGATTCATTTGTGGCTGTAAAAAAGAAGCAAGCAATTCTAATCTGTTAAAGTCATGCTATTTGCTTCGAAGTGTCCTCGTTTGTGTAGGAAACCTATTTCTAGGGTTCTAACGTTCGAGTGATAAGATTGGGAATTGATAGATATTTAGGGATTGAGATAGAATTGGGGAAGAATAGAATTGGGGATTAGGGATTTAGAAGAGGAAATTTGGGATCGAGGAGAAGAATGGCCGTCGGCCTAGGGATAGATGACGAAATTGAGAGAGATTAGGGTTTGAGATACTGTTCTGAATAATTGATCTTGCTTGATTATGAATAAAACGCAAAGTACATATTTATAACGAAAGATAAGAAAACCTAATACTAAACCTAATTCTACTAAAAGACTACTAACCATATTTAATAAAACCTAATAATAATGATAATATAGAAACTCATTTTCCTTAGAAAACGTGTTTCTAACATCCCATCCCCCTTGAGACCAACCTTGCCCTCAAGGTTGATCGACTCAACCCACTTCTTCTTGACCTTCCGCTTTCTTCGTTTCCAGTTGTGCTCAATTTCATGAATGAACTCTTCTCGCGCAACTCCAACTATCCTCGAATCTCCTTCACCCACGTGACATATGTCACCTTCATCATAGCCGAACAATTCGCCCTCTTCGAAATTCACAAAATAAGAATTGGGAAATTGTTCTTCATTATGCTCCTCCGCCACCCTGAAATCTTCAAATAACAACTCCATCGAATCCACCATAAGCAGGGTGGTGAAAACAAGTGGGTGTGGATTAAGCTTCCTTGAAAACCCGCCTAACCCAATGAGCCCACTGTCCTCTTCCTCAACCATTGGGCCCTTAGATTTCGGCCCAACCCAACACAAGAGGAAGCTTCTCAAGCTGCTCTCGGTCAGCCCAATAGGCGCATCCCTCAGCCTCCTTTTCTCTTGAATATAGTTGATTGTTTTCTTGTGCAACCTGGGTCCAAGTCCAGGCTCAACGAATTTCTCCAATGCCAGCCCGCGGTTTTCCTCAGCAAATGGGCTTGTCGATCTCGCCCCGGAACCATAGAGAATAACCTGGGTTAAGATGCTCATATATTGTCCAAGAATGGACCCCTTCTGCTTATGCACATAACCCCGAAACAGACCCATGAATTTCTCTCTTACTTGCCAGCTTGTGATTGAGGCCAACGCGAGTCGGCCCGTAAGACTCCTTAGCCCGACCTAATAGGCCCAACAAGGCTTGGCCTTGTTCTTCTTCGCTGACCACGCTAGGTTTCACGAGAAGGAAAATGGTGTCGCCACCTTCTTCCCTCTTCCATGGCGGCCAACCTTTCTTTCCTTCCTTTTCCGCCGGCGAGTGGCGCACCCGGCCACCAGAACTCGCCTTCGGCGCCAAATACCTCTGTCTCCCTTCAGTCCCGATCAGCGTCTTGATCGAAACGGCCACTGATGGCGGCGCTTCTCGCGCGACCGTCATTCCTCGTGCCAGCCACCGACAAGGCGGTGGCCTTCGTTGCTCCTCCTCCTGCCATCCATTCTCGGTCCGCTCCAGCGGCTGCAACGGTACAGATGCGTCGTCGATGCCAGCTCCCTCCGCGGCCGACGCGCCTTCGTCAGTCGTTACCTCTGGCAGGCCCGGTGTGATCGACGGTGTCGTGGTGTGATCTCCCCCAGCCTCCGTGGCTGCCGCACCTTGCTCCACGACCTCCTCTACCGTGGCCTTGGCCTCTCCCGTCGTCTCCACATCTTTATCTCGCCTGGCGCCAGACAGCTCGACCGCCGGCTCTTCGGGCAGCCAACGGCGGCCGATGCGACGGGCTCTGTCCCGCAATTCTGCCCACGACAGGTTCGAGAGCTTTGAAGAGCTCATCGTCGAACCAGTTGTAGAAATCGTCCCCGGTTGAGAGTTGTGGTGAACTCAATTCTCGAACCGGGCTCTGATACCAGATGTAGGAAACCTATTTCTAGGGTTCTAACGTTCGAGTGATAAGATTGGGAATTGATAGATATTTAGGGATTGAGATAGAATTGGGGAAGAATAGAATTGGGGATTAGGGATTTAGAAGAGGAAATTTGGGATCGAGGAGAAGAATGGCCGTCGGCCTAGGGATAGATGACGAAATTGAGAGAGATTAGGGTTTGAGATACTGTTCTGAATAATTGATCTTGCTTGATTATGAATAAAACGCAAAGTACATATTTATAACGAAAGATAAGAAAACCTAATACTAATTACTAAACCTAATTCTACTAAAAGACTACTAACCATATTTAATAAAACCTAATAATAATGATAATATAGAAACTCAATTTCCTTAGAAAACGTGTTTCTAACATCATGTGGGAAACACGATTTTTCTATATTATTATTATAATCATTATTAGGATAATTCTTATTATGGTTAGTAGTCTTCTAGTAGAATTAGGTTTATTCTTAGGGTTTTCTAGTATTTCCCTATATATATGTACTTTGGGTCATTCGTCAGATTAAGCAGAAATTAATAAGAAAAGTCATCTCCCCAAATCCCTAATCTTCTCTCAATCTCGTCTATCCTCCTCTCTAGAGGCCTCGGCCGTTCTTTCGGTTCTTCCCCAATTCTGTTCCTAATCCCTAATTATCTTCTAAATCCCTAAATCTCTACCAATTCCCAATTTCCCGACACAATCGTTGGAACCCTAAAAATAGGTTTCCTACAGTTTGAGATGCAATCATGCAAGCACAAATTAGAAAAGGCCAAGCAATGTGCTGTGATATTCTTCCATATGTATTCAATTGAGTGTAGGAAGATCAGAATGCCAATTGAATCTGTTCATGATTTTGCAGTCAATCTTTATCTGTGTATGAATACTGAACAACAATATAGCTCTCGCGACAACGAATGTCTAGTAGCCTTTACATAATAGTAGAAGTTCAATCAGACAACTTTCAGTCCCAACTCACTCTTTTGCTTCACTATAGAGTTGATCAATGCATTCCTTGTAGTATTTCAGCAGCTGAGGCCTCTTTAGCTTAAACGTTGGAGTCACAAGATCCCTCTCCATACCAAATGGAACTGGCTCCAGGTGAACTCCTTTCAACAACTCAAACCCTTTCAGCTGTCAAGGTGATTTCCTTTGTTAGTCGACTAAGCAAAGAAAAAACAGAGAGAATCTAGATCAGCAAGAAAGAACAGTGAGAGAGACATACTTGATGCTTCTTTCCAGTGCTATTCAGCTCATCCAGAACATAATTCCTGGCATTCTTATCCTCGCACAAGGCCTTATAATCCCCCTCCACATTATGCTGCTTCGCCCACTCCTCGATCGCTTGCTTGTCAGGCACGACAACAGCCACAAGAAACGACTCGAAACTATTGCCGTACACCCAAATCGAAGCGACAAGAGGGCATCGGGAGTAAGTGTTCTCTAGATTCTCCACGGCGACATACTCTCCCTGAGACAGCTTAAAGATGTTCTTCTTCCTGTCAATGATCTTCATGGCTCCATTGGGCTGCAACTCTCCAATGTCGCCAGTGTGGAACCAGCCGTCGACGAGGACCTCTCTCGTGAGATCTTCACGCTTGTGATAGCCAGAGAACAATGTGTTCCCTCGGAGGCAAATCTCGCCACGTGGCACGCTGGCCAGTGCATCGTAGCCCATTTCGGGGACAGATTCTAGCCGGGCTTCGATGGTGGTCATGGGGACGCCCACGGTGCCCACCATCGGGTATATGTCGCCAATCGAGGTGAAGCTTCCACCACAGCTTTCGGTGAGTCCTGTCAACAAAATGGGTTTAGCTTAGTGAAGAAGCAAAAAAAGTGGAGAATGGTGAAAGAATTGGGAAATTCATGATTGGTTCATGGTTCATATACCGTAGCCTTGTGATAATGTGGAGCAGGATATGACTCTTAGGAAGTCTTCGACATGGCGAGGCAAAGGTGCAGCTCCAGATAAGAGAATTCTAACTCGGCCTCCCAATGCTTGCTTAGTCTGTTTACGATTTCCAAACACCTTAGATTGAATGGCACAAATGGAGATGGGAAAGTGCAGTAATTGCAGGGTTGGAATGAAAGAACAAACCTTTTCGAAGATGAGCTTGTCGAAGAATGGTGCAGCTTTCGCTTGTGCAAACCCCTTCTCAAGGTTTCCGAGCTTGCTGTGAGATGGGTCATCCACATTGTTACTTGTGATACAAGAAAGGTAGCCATATGGATTGGAGTACGGTGAGTTGGTCGTTAACTTACTAAGAATACGCGAAATCGAAGAGCTTTTTCCTTAGTGCTCCTGATGATGAGACCTTGCTCATTGTACCTACATTCCACATCGAATGTTCAGGACCAGAAAGAACAAGAATGGAGTTAGAAACAATCGAAGAGTTACCACTTACCACTGTAAATGCGCTCGTAAACTCTAGGAACCCCACAAAGCATGGTTGGCTTCAACTCCTGAAGATCCTCCATCAAGAATCTCACATCCTACGAAACAGAAACCGAAAATCCGATTGAGCATAAACAAAAAAATTACATCGAGGGAAGATGAATCAAATCGAATCTGCAGTCTTTTTATTACCCCTTGCCAGAATCCTATGGATGCACCTTTGTGAATGCAGTAGTTCGCCATCACTTGGTCATAGATGTGAGCCAAAGGTAAGAAAGAGAAGTATGAATCTTCCTCATCAAGCTGAAATAATAATAAAAAAAAGGATTCTCTTCATTTCCCAGTTGATTAAAAAGGTTGCTTTAAGTGCAAGTAACTACTGATCATTCTCTTACCACTCTGTCAGTCTGGGAGAGCAAATGATCAACAGAAAGAACTTCAGCCATGAGAGCACCATTTGTGATGATAACTCCTTTAGGCTCTCCAGTTGTCCCACTGGTGTACATTATGGTGCAGATGTCGGTCTTCTGTTTCGGAGTTAGCTCGGAATCCAAACTCCCCTGACCATCACTTATTCGTGTTAGAAAGCTGCTGTCATCTTGATTCAAAACAAATGATGAAGATTAGCTCTTGTTTCTTCTTTACTCACCAGCTGGGAAAATTCTTCCCACGAGTAACAAGACACTCCTAGCTCCTCGGCTTCCTTCTTCTGCACGGCAGAGATGTCTCCAAAGCTGATGATGGCTATACAAAACAGATGAAATTAGTAGGGTTGATCATTGATCTTGAAAGAGCACCCCAAGTTTCAGATGGGTAAAATGGGGTTTGGTGAGAGTTTTTGGCATACTTTTCAGGTTCGAACAGCAGTTCGAGAGGCAGGACAAAACCTGGAAACAAGGGCAGGTGGTTTTAGTAAGGTCTCAAGCAAATATGAAAAAGGGCAAACAACAGCAGGAAGAGATTTACAGCAGGGAGTTTGTTCTCTTGAACAAAGGCCATGGACACTTCAGCATGGTTGATGATGAACTCCACAGCATTGGCACCTGCAAGTTTTTCGGGCCAGCATCACAGATTCCATTACCAAAGGAGCTTAAATTTATACCTGAATCCAATTGTAAGGACATCAAATTTTACCAAGGGTGTCATAGAGAGGGACATAAGTCACAGCCTGGCTGTTACAAGCCTGGAAAAGAAGTAACAATCTGTGGTGAGAAAGTGCGCGATGATTGTAACGAATGTCAATCTGGAAAAAAAGCTTTAGAATCAAACCTCCATTGCAGTTATCCATTGAGCAGAGTTGGAACCATAGATACCGCACCGATCACCCTGGAAACACAAATTGTTTTACCAAAGTTGATTACCATTTCAAGTTTTTTACAGTATGAATTCAAATCTAATACGGTTGACGAAGTGTCAAAGGCTGTTGCTTACAGGGTTGACACCAAGGCTCCTCATTGCAGAACCAATTCTCAGAGCAGAATCATAAACTTGCTTGTAAGTGAGCCATGCATATGATCCTGCCTGCTGCTAGCCAGTCAAAATTCACACCATGGATTTATGATGAACATTAATTCTTTGTAATCCAGTCAATTCTGGTTGTTTTTAAGGACCTTGTTGCAGATTGCAGAACATGATTAGTAGTGTGACATGTCAAGAAAAGGATACCTTGGAATCAATGACCTGGCGGCTTCCCAGCATGTGATTGTCGGGGTACTTAGCCACTGAATCACTGCAAATCAAATCAAACTATGGCTTTAAAAAAATTATTAAAAATTATGCTCTTTGAAATATCTCAACTAAGGCCCATTAGCTCAGTTGGTTAGAGCGTGGTGCTAATAACGCCAAGGTCGCAGGTTCGAGACCTGCATGGGCCAATTTTTTACACCCTCTGTTTTTTTTCTTCTTCTTACAATTGTGTTTAGGGCAGCCATTGCCAGCCTGAAGCTCAAATGTTTGTTGTGTTTACAGTTTACCTGAAGAATTGCCAAGGGGAATGGAGGTGAGCAGGAACTTCCAAGAGTCCATCTTTGGCGTAAATGCTTCTGTAAACAGGCCCTGCACTTGGCTTTCCTTCTCCCCTGCTGCTGCTCTCTGCTTCTCCAACCTTCACCAAGTACTCCATCGCCATCCTAGATCGCAAGCTGTTTCTCAGCCCACTAAGAAGAATGCTTGTTGTTTCTCCTCCAGGCTTAGAACTTCTGTGCCGAATTGGTCGATCTGTTTGGTCTGAGATTTTTGGTGTTAAATTCCTACTATCTGCTCCTAAAAGGGGAAGAAAGAAGAAGAAGGAGAAGAGTGAAGAGAGGAATGAAAGTGGTTGGGGTTGGGCCAACCGTACGGAGAAACAAGCAATAAATTCTTCTTCTTAATAATTGAAACTGGATTTATTTTTTACACATATTAGAAGAAAATGATGGATGCAATCTTATCTCTTCTTTATGATGAGATTTAGGGATGAAAATTGAACCCAGATCAAATCAATTCAGTCCGATCAAAATTGGTAAAATTTGGTGCTGATTGATTTTGGGTTGAATGCGGTTATACTCACTCTTGAAATTAGTGAGTTTGATCATACGTAGGTTTAGGAAAAATCCAACTCGATTTCTATCCGACCTGTCCCATGCATGCAATGCATCATGTTTTTATTTTTTTTAACCTTTTCACAAGGCCTCATTTACTCTATTAACATATCAAAATTGACGGTTTAACCGATGGTAATGGTATTATGCATATGTCCAATTTGTCCACATTGGGAGAAAAATTGTTGGGATTTTAAATAATGCGAATGGAACTGAAAAGATATGAAACTAGAAGAAATTCTTGAATACTTCATTTGAAAGATGCGAGAAGGGAAAGCTAGTAAGAGGAGCAAAAGATGACGAGCATTCGTGTTGTGTTTGTCGCTCTTGAAAGGTAGAGTTGATTTGATCTTTTTATACTCAGTTCGATTGGTTTGTGTACCCATCCAGAATCGAGTCGAGTATGAATGAACTGGACTGAGGTGGTGGTTGGAGTAAACCGCTCGGTTCAACTACCATGTACCGAACCTATGTAATGGTTTGAGAATTTTGAAAGAATCTAAGCAATGATTGGGGCTTAACCACCGACTCAAAGAGTCGCCCTTGTTTGTACGCACCCCTTCATTTTCTATAAATAGCTTTGTAGAGAGTTGAAAAATGAAAGCACCCTCCTTGGGTGGGGGTTAAAAAGTTTATTGGAGGTTGGGTATGAGATTTGAACCCCGATCATGTAAATCCACAACTAACTATATCGCCATCTATGCTAAATAGAAAAATTGTAATTTTTATGCACACATTTATTGAAAACAATTATTCATCCAAATTATAACACCATAATAGCACATCTTATCAAAGTTCTTGATCATAGATGAAGAGGCATAGCTATGATTTCGTCTAAGGTGGGTCTATTTAGAAAATTTACATATGATAAAATATTTTTTTGTTAACTTTTCTAATCAACCATTTTCAATTAGAAGAGCTCTAATTTTCATACTCAATTACCTATTATACGTAATTTACGCATTGTTCTCCTAATGACCACCCTGCTACACCTCCTTCTTCCCTGGTTTAAAATATTTTTATTTTATTTTACAAATTACATATTCTAAAAACACGTAACTTACTCCTCATGAAAGAGGGAAATACAGGGTTTCTGCTCCTATAAAATATAAATCTGTCATACCCTAGTCTAGATACACAATTCAGAGAGTAGAAACACAAGAGAGTGTTCTTCAGAGAGCTCCAGGTTTTACATAAATCAAGAGATAGAGAGAGAGGTTGTTTCATCTTGGAGGCTAACTAGTGATAATTTGTTGTGTGTAATAGGAGATAATACTAGTGTCACGAAAATTTAAAAGAAAGCGACCTAATCCATGACTCGACCATATCAATAATCTTTTTTTCCCGATTTCTCGTGAAGGGGTTGCAAACCTAGCTTTCTGAAACATCCGCTGTCCCAAAGTCAAATTCATGTGGGAAATTTTCTGCATTGCCTATTCTTTTCTTGCCTTGGTCGGTTAGGCAGAAGAAACCCATGTGGAAATTAAAGAGAAAGATTATGGTTGTTTGAAGTTGGCAAGAATTTTTCATGTGGATTTTTTCTGCTGCTTTATCCAAAATTCTCTTTAAAGGGGAAAGATGAAAGCCTATATATTACTTGTAATTGGTGGGAATGGGTGAAGAAGATTGTGAGTGGATTTAATCTGATGATGACGATTTGGTTGACGGTTTCAATAGGAGGTTGGGTTTGGGTAAGACGAATTTGAGTGAATGCCTTCTACCAGCGTAGATGCTTACCAAATTGAAGGGCTATATATGTGGAAGCGTTCTCTCTTAACACGGGGCTTCCAAGTCTGTGCCGTTATGAAACATATGTCTGGTCGGTGGAACAACCTTTGATTAAATTTCACCACCTCAAAATTGGTTGGTTTCATGAATCGCTCGATATACATGTGAGAGAAAAGAAAAACTAAAAAAAGAATAGATTGCAGAAATTTGAGCACTTGAACTCATTATTATTTTTGCAGAGAGTAGGAAATTGGTACTGATTAATTACGTCGACCAAACTCCAAAAAAGGAAAAGTAAGGCCTCTGTAACATTCTTTACCATTCATCCGTCGGGTGAGCTTCTCATGATTCCAATTATCGCTCTTTCACCAAATCTAATAATATTCCATCGATTACTTCCTCATCACTCGCACCTTCTAACCTAGAGCGCCCTTCTAGTATATTATCCTGCCATTAGATCTCTAGATTCTCTCTCATGTCGTAGTCTCCATTTCTTTTGATTTTATTCATTTTTTCTTTGGAACTCTGATACCCTTTGGAGACTTCAACTATCGTGCCTCACTACCCTTTGGACTCCTGATAACTCATACCCCATTAACATTGGAATCAATCTCTCAACCTTTCGAACCATCGCTCCAATTCTGCTTCCCACCGCGAAAGATGTCCTTCAAGATTTGGAGCTTGCGATTGAGGGGGAGAATGGTCCTTCGGAAGAAGATGATTCTGAAGTAGTCTGGCTAAACATCAATTAATAGTGAGTCAGAGGACAGTCCCTCCGTGGCCGATATGAACGATCTAAATCATTCACCAGAGTTTAGTGAGCCAGCCTCTGTACCAGACATAAGTGATCCAGATTGACCACAATTTAGTAAGTTGGCCTCTTCTACGAACACAAGCGACCCAAACTCACCGCAGTATGCACCGTATGACTATGAGAATCATTCTGAAGGCACAAACCTCAACAACTGATGATGGTCTAATGGTTGAGTGGTGAGAGCAACTTTTTCTTGGTTTGTGAAACTTTATGAGATTCTTATTTAGAACTATTGGGATCAAACTGTTACAACTATATGCTTGTTTTCCTCTTTAGAACTACTGATTTAAACATTTAGAACTAGTTTAGCATTTGTCTATTTATTTCTTTGCTCTAATTATTTGCTTTAGTCTGATCACCCTGGTGCGTGAATAGCTTGACAATCGAAAATATCCAATCTAAGGGAGATAATAGGTTAAGGGGGAGCATTGATGCTTCCATCACTATTGAATACACTTGTCATTATAGAAAAAACATGGTATTGAAGAAAAGAAAAGTAGGGGGAGATTGTTGAGAAAAATATTTCCCTTTCTGCAAAGGCACAACAACATAAATTATTACTTGTCATATTTTTTTGAATATTTGATTACAGTAAAGAATTTCTAAAGTTAAAGAAAGATCAACAGAAGACAGCTACCTCAAAACGAAGTATAAATAGAAGGAAGCAACAAGAAAAGCCTCACAGAATGTGGCAGAGCATTCATACACAAAACAAGATCAAACACTCTGTGATTTACAATAGGTGCAATAATTGACAGGTGTTCACTGTTTATATTGCTTGAGTGGTTGTGTAGTTCCTGTCTTTAGCTAGTGAGAGTGCTTGTGAGGAAGGAGAATGACGTATATTTCTCTATTCTTGTCAAGAGTTTGAGTTCCACCCAAAGGGGACTCAACTTGGAGCTAGATCCAAATAAGATAAAAACCTAGACACTAGGTCTCAAAGGGGGAGCCACCTTCGAGCCGAGACATAAGTAATAGGTTGAACTCGGTTAACAAAATAACAAGTGTACATGTTTCTCTCCTTGCTTTCCTCTATCTTGTGTTTGCTTCTCAATAGGTACACAGCAACCTTGTTGGTCTAAGGTTGAAGACAATCAAATAATGGCCAAAGCCCATCTCGTTAAACTCCTTGGCTTTAGCAACGGATCAAGTCCAACCCACAACTCAAGATGACCGATCCATAACTAATATGATTTCGTTTCTTGTATTTCCAAAATAATTTATGTTCTACACGTGTCCTACAATTGGTATTCAATAATGTTTATTAAGATGATTGTTTCAAAACTGTTCATAATCTCAGTGTTGGTCTAAGGTTTATTAAGATGATTGTTTCAAAACTGTTCATAATCTCGGTGTTATTTAAATATGATGAATTCAAGTATTCAATAATGTATTTAACAAATGTTTTTTTTTTTTTTGCATTAATCCTTCAAGGGGGGTTTATTGACTGACAAATCAAATGATACTAAATACCTCAAACCAAAACACATGCAGCATGCATAAACTAATTACAATCACTAATAATAATTAATAAATAAATAAATCGTCAATTCATGATGAAACTTGCAACGAGGAAAATAACAAACGGTTTTCCGTAGCGTATCTCTCGGAAATAATGCAGCAATGGTGCGTCGACCTCCCCTAGCATCGTGCCATCGAAGAACAAGCCTATTGTCGAACCTGGAGTGGCCAGAAAACCTGGCGAGGATGCGCTTCCTCAGCTCGCCAACCGTATCGGTTTCCTTGCAAGTGAGGGTCTTGACCCTCGACTGAGTCGGGAAAGCGAGGGAACGGAGGGTGACAGTGATCGTGCATTCGCCGGCCGTTGTCGTCATTGGCGACCTCGAGGTGGGCGATTGCCGGTACCGAGGGATGGATTTTGTAGGATGCCAGAGTCACGTCAAACGGCAATCAAATAAGAAAACCTAATAGATATAAGGTAACTAATAACTTACTCAACAAGACACAATAAACTAATACGAATATCCCTAAATAATCACAATAACATAACAATTAACCGATAATAATACCCCAACGACTAAGCCCAACTCAGCATAAGGCCCATCGGGAGTTATAATGCACCAACCATCTATAGCTCGAGTAGTATCAATGCTTGACTCTTAGATCATCGATGCTATAGACCATCAATTATGTCTCAAGAGGCCTACTCTTAATCATGTTTTATCCTCAGTTCAATGTTGTTCATTGATTAGGTTATGGCATGAAGCGAAAGCACGTATCAGCTAGTCAAGGTCATATGGCATGTTGCGAAGCTAGAGTAGGATGGCCTTAACTCCCAGCTGTCAACCGTAACTCTTTCCTTACGGATTGAAGGGACGACGTCGTCTGAAGAGTCACGGGCGGATTAGAGAAGTTACGGTCGTGACTTAGGTTATAACTCGTTTGGAGAGTCACGAGCTGATTTGAAACCACCTAGGACCATTGGAGCTTGATTCCTCCCCCTCGGAGTATCGATTGCTGATTTGGAGAATATTTCACTCATTCACACAATGATGTTCGTCTCCAGCCTTGCATTTATCCCTTTCTCCATGGATTAAGCACATCTTCTGCTTAGGTATGAAGAACCCTAGATCTGTATGCTAGTAGCAGTTGTATGAACCCACATACATGACATTTGATTATTTATATTCAATTGGGGCATTAATCAGAATTATCCCTTTCTCTATGGAATCAATTCATTGATCTGTACTGGAACCAAAAGCCAATAGAGGAAGTCTTACCGAATTGCGTTTGCAGTTTATTCAAGAGGTTCTGGTCTGGTCTGCTTTAGTCGAGATTCCATACTCTTTCAGGACTTTTCGCAATATAAATATCGATTGAAACGAATTGGGGGAGTTACAACTTGGCCTAACTGCAGATTAGGGGGCGGTTACATGAGTGGTCTTTCTCACAATTGAAAATCATAACATTTACCTGCTTTCTTTTATACTTTGCATACAAACAACTCCTCTATACGTTGCTCGCTAGATAATAAATAATTTGCTGAGTAGTCAGTACATATAGGACCCGGGTTGATAATTAAAATTGAACTCACTATACTGTATTGTTGAGTTACAATTATACTGGATCGTTTCTTAGTGTGCTGGCATTGGCAAGTCAAAGTTTGAGAGTTAAGAAATTGATGATGCCACATATATCTTTTGATTTTTGGATAGTGCTAATGATTGAGTTTGAGAGTTGCGAGCATTTATTTGGATGATTGTATGGGTTAAGCCTCTTTATGTGGATATTGTGCTTCTACTCTATTTTGTCTTGAGGCAGGTCAGGTGTTCTAGTGCTTTTTTCTATATGGTTCAGGGATGTTTGAGTCATAATTCTATCTATCATAATTCATAAGACATGTAAAAATTGTACGGTTAGTGTCCCATCCAATGGGTGACCTTTTGGTTATTTCCCACAATTTAGGGACCAATAGTGTAATTATATTCTTCTTTTCTTTATTCTTTCCATTCCTCTCTCTTGCTTTATTCCCATCCACTCAAATTCACTCTTTCCCGTAAACCCTCCCTCCCTCCCACACACCAACCAATCTTCATCTCTCCTTTCTCTCTCCATGGAAGAAGAACAGAAGACAGCAGAATCAAGAAGTTTCTCAATAAAAAAAAAGGAGGAAGAAGAAGAACCAGGAGGCGGAAGGGAGGAATGAAAAACCCGCCCACTTGTGCTTTCCGTCTCTCCGCGATCCAGCTCCGACGTTGTCACTTTTCCTCTCTACGATTGCAAATCTCTGAAATCGGCGATGCAGCGGCAAGCTTGCCAAGGAAGGAGGGTGTTCGACGGTTGGTCGTCTAGATCGTGAGTTTTACTATGTTCTCAGATTATCGACGACGATCTCAGTTTTCTGCATCTGCTTTCTCTCTCCGTTAATTTCTCTGAGTTTCTTTGATCTTTGTTCCCTAAGAGAAGGGAAGGTGTGGACGACGCCGGTGCGATGTGAAGGTCGGTAATGGATGTGGTGATAGTCTCAGCGATGAGTGAGCCGTTTCTCTTTTTGAATATTTTATGTTTTGGTTTTTGTTTGGCTTGAATCCTGGTTGCTTATCTTTTATTTCTGGGTTTTGGTATCGTACGTGATTCGTCCACCGACGTCGGCTGTTTCACAACAGAAGGAAACATGGCCTGCCGCCGATGGACAGTTATCAACGGCGGGTAAGTTATTTTTGTGTAATTATTTCCATTTTCAGTTTTGGTATGTTTGGATTTTTTTATTTTACGTTATGGTAATCTGATCGGACCTTTTCTTTTTGGGTGAGGGCAATAGGAAGGATAATGTAGGAGCTGTTGCCGGTGTATATTTCCGAAGGCGACAAAGGCAAGCAGGGCTAGCCGTTGCTCTCTAGGTAACCTTCTTCTTTTGGGGTTTTTATTTTGTTTTGATTCTCGATGACGCCTTTCTTTGGAGTGGTACAGATTCAGCATGGCAGTGGGGTGGGGATAAAGGGAAGGTTAGCAAAACATGAGAATTGAAGTCCACATATTAATGGAATAAGCAATTTTAGAGAAAAGAGGGGCATGAATCATGGGAAATCTTGATATAGTTAGGAATCTTCCAAGTCATCTGTTGACTTCATTGGTATTCTTTCCAGAAAGTTACTCATATGAGAACAAAATCCAGTAACAAGGGTCGATTTTAATTGCTCGCATGGAGAGTGGGGAAGACATGTTCATTGCATGCAAATGATGATTTCCAAGAAACCTGCAGCAAACAACTTGGAATTGGCATGGGTTATTGGGTTTCAATCTACTTGAAATTGCTTTATTCAACCTATACATCGGTGTTTTCAATCTACGAGCATATTTTGAGTTCATGGTTTAATTGATTTTTCAGTTTTTGAATTTTGTTTTCAACTGTTGCGTGATGGTGCTTTTGGGATTTTCACTTTTGGTTTCAGTCTTCCAGTTTTTCATGTTATCTTTTGATCATACACAATCTAATTGATGTTCTTAAGGTTGGTACTTTCATAGGTTAAGTTCCTTTTGGAAGTTCAGATGCTTGATTAATGCCATGAAACTCTCTAGCATACTCATTCCTTGCTTTGACCTCATTTTAGTTGATTTCGAGTTGGTTGATAGTCTCTATGAATTTTAGGAACATCATATGCCTGGATGTGAGTTATTGGATCCACGGTGTTTGGGAGTTTGTTGATTTCTGTACGAAAAGGGTGGACATCCTTCCGTTTGAGGTAATCTACTGGTTTGTTCAATATGAAAAGTCACTTGCCTCTCAGTCTGGTTTTTTATTGACACTTGCTTCTCTAACCTAAAAATAACCAACTCTTTCAATTTTTATATGCTCTCACTTAAGAATATGTTGTTGAGAGTAATGCCTAATGTGGTGTCGTTGTTCAGCTTCTTTTGATTATTGGGATGAGTAAATACTATGAATGGTTCTCATAAGTCGTTGGGATGCGAGGAACTGGCTGGTGCTGGACTCTTTTCTGTTCACGAATCCTTAATTGTCTGTATAATAGTTCAATTACAGCTTGTGGTTTGGCTATCTCAGGTTGTTTAGGAATGGCTGGCCTTGATTAATAACTAAGTATGCAGAGATTTGAAAGGATACCATGTTGCTGGTTCTTATAGAGTTATATTCTGCCTTTGTGTTTTTTTTTTTTTTTTTTTTTTTGCAGGGGAATGGTGCAAGGGAGGTTGTCAGGGAAACAAAGAAGGATTATTTCTGGCCAGGGCAAAGGTGGAGGTTAGACCTCTGAATAGACTAGGGGAGGGAAGGTACACGGGATTACAAGCAGATCCACGCCTTAACACGAAAACCATTGTTTTGAATGATGGGATCTACAATTCGCTTAGAGGCTGAAATCGAAAGGTAGGTGATGATCTTCGTTTTCTGTTTTAAAATTATGCTCTCTTGCACGTGAGAGTTTGTTTAATCCTTCCCGTAGGAAATACAGCCTGTGCAGTATTACAGATTGCACTCATCAGATAACATTGTTGAATGCCTGCTGAAATTTCATTCTTAACCTTCATTCTCCAATTTTTGTGTGTTTGGGTTTGTTTACCATCTCTTTTCTATTGAAGGATCCTTATTTGTCTGTATACTGAGTTCGATTACAGTTGGTGGTTTAGCTATCTCTGGTTGTTTACACAGCATTGGCCTCGATTCACAACAGTTTGTAGAGATATTAGAGGATACCGTGTGTTGGTTTTTAACTTCTTATATGATTATCTGATTGATTTGTTGCTTCCTTTTCAAAATGGTTTGTTCACTTTTTCCTCAAGCTTCATTGGTGGTTTTGTATCCTTTTTTAGAACAAAGGATGTCGTGATTTTCCAAACAGCCTTCTTTGGTTTTACTGTATTGAGTGGAAGTCATCCACCCCTTTTTATCTACATGTAAAAAAACAGATGGGTGTTTCAAAACCAATTTCATTCTTATTAAATTGTTTTTCAACTGTGTTGGGCTGAAGATCCCCTCCGTAGTAGATTTTTTTTTACCTCAGGTGGAATATCACTATGATTACTTGAGGTTCGTTCCTTCTTTAACTTCTACTTTTATTCCTTTTACATTTTTTGTTTCCTAATGTGTTCCCGGTTCTTTGTTTTTCCTTTTTCGCAGTGTTTTGCAGTACCAATAGGGAATGACTTGCAGATGCAGTCGAGAGGACGAGAAAAGCATGCTTTGATCTCCTTTTCTCTCCCAATTGGTATTAGTCTATTCACAATTTAGATTATAGCATTGTAGTAACTGGCCGTCCTCATTAGAAAATAATCATGTACGATACACAGTTGCCTTCAGCATTCAAAAGTTGTTAATGTAGGCATAATCTCTTTTGTAATTTTGCTAATGTTATCGTTCTTAACATTGATTGGCCGATTACCGGTTAAACAATCATCCCAACAGTTTTGAGTCCCGCCGCGCAGCGCGGGCATTCCGTCCTAGTCGTAATAATAAAACATGACATGCATAAATTAATTAAGCGAGCTCTTTTAGGGTAAACTAGCGATATTTTACTTCACAATGAAAAAAAGAATACATGACCCATGAGTACATAAATCGCCAACTTCTCACTACCCCGATTTTCATAAACTAAACCCAACATTGACTCAAACTAACTCAAACTACCCCATTAACTTGACTCTCTTTTGCCACACAAACAACAAATACAAGAAATGATCAAACCAAACCCAACCCAACCTCCTAACAACACACGACACACTAATTATTGACTCCATGAATCAGCCGCCAAAGTTCATCCTCACGTACCGGCCTTGGGTGACCGTCAACGCCAGACTCAGACAGCCACAAGAAGAAGTGGGTGCTCTGCCGCTGCTCCGCAACCCACATGCGGAAAGCGCGGTGACGGTCTTTGGTGAAGCCGTATTGAGTCATCGTCCGGCGGTCATCCATCAGATCCTCGTCTTCTGCGGCGTGGGATTCCTGGTAAAGCTTGATCCGGCGGTCATCCATCGGATTCTTGGTACAGCTTGATCCGGCTTGTCGACCCACATGCGGATCAAGCTGTATCAGGAATCCCACGCCGCGGAAGACGGGGATCTGATGGATGACCGCCGGACGATGGCTCAATTGACCCACTCTTCATCGTCGCTGCCGCTACCGCTGTGGCCACTGTTTGGAACGTCTTCCTCCTCCGCCGGAGCTTGACCCGCCGTTCATGGCTAGCTTAGCTTCTGTAACTTGATTTTTCTCTCTCTGTCTCTCTCTCTCTCTTCTTTTGTTTGCCTTTAACGGTAGCTTAGGTTCGGCTACTTCAACCACCGTATAATTTATAGAACTAGAAGAAGATATATTTTGCGTGTTCGTACAGAATCAAAAATATAATCCTTACATATTTGTCAGTCATGGAATATAATACGGCCGCGCGGTACCTTGCTAGCTTTTTAATTACATGCTGCCCACTGAAAGAAAGTACTCCCAAGCTATATATTTGATGATGATTTATGTATTTGATGATGATTTATAAGTTGTGTATGACATATTCAGTGTTTTTATAACAAGCTATATACAAATGACAATGGTGCATATGATCCGGCTAAAATCAAATATTTATTTTTTCAATATCTAACAACAAATTTCCACCAATTCTAGCTAATTTTTAAAAATAATTTTATTTTAATCAGGGGTAGGGAGAGTGCAACGGGTGCGCCCCTAATGACGAAAATGAATAAATTAGTGAAGTAGTTAATTGAGAATGAAATCTAGGGCACTTCTAATTGTGAATGGTTGACCAAGGATCACGTACTCGAATCTTATTTTTGTATGATGGATCGGTGACCCCATTTGTTAATTAAGCACATGATATTCGAATTTGCGAAAATTTTAAGCACGTATAAGTTAGTTTTCATATAGAATGAAATTCTTGATAGTTTCAACATACATTTATTACCACATTTTTCAAAATACAAAATTATATTATAAATTATTTTAAAAGCTAACAAAACTTTTATATCGTATATTTTTTTCTTAAAAAAAAAAGGGACTCACCATCAACAAAATCCTGCCTACACACCTAGACTCAACCATGACAATGGTCTGCTTTAGAGAAAATTGGTGAGAGTTTTCTTCCATGCACCAATTTAACTTGGGTTTGCAGTTGGGGGAGTACTGTGTTGGTCTTGCGGCATTTACTTCTTATGAATTAAATGTCATAAAGTGCAACTGTAAAACAGTAAAAGTAAAAAATAGTACAAAAGAAAGGGACATAGGGGTGAATGAAAATAGATGAGAAGCAGTACTAAATAGTAAGATCATCCACATCCATGAAATATCATTTCTATTTCATATGTGGCTCCTACTACCACCTCAGCAACTTTTTCTATTCCACCACATATCACTTTCATTCTCTCTACATCCATGAAATTCACTATCTATTTCATATGGCGGGTCCACCTTACTTTTTAATACACTACACATTTTTATTATTTGTTATTAAAAATATAATTTCAAGACAAAATGGAAATGAAAGAAATATAAGTGTGACATCTTTATATTTATATAAGCGTACGTTAAACTTGTTTCGTATTACACTTTCAGAATCTACAAAAATACAAAATTAATTCATCCAAACTTAATGAAGTTTTTAATCTATTAAGTTTGTTTATCTTAAACAAATGATAATTTGAAGAAAAAAAAAAGAAATGAAAAAAAACATCACGTATACAAACATAAAACAGGCTTCCATTTTTATCATTTGTTATTAAAAGTATAATTTCAAAACAAAATGAAAATGAAAAAAAAAACATCAAATGTGGGATGGAGCCCACTCTCCACCCACTTGCTCTTCCATTTGCTATTTCACTAAGTGGAAGATCCCACTTTCTGAAATAGGCACTACAACCATGGAAGATGCAAATGGTATGCCACGTCAGAATGAAATGGGTTCTTTGGAAGCCGTTGCAGGTGCTCTAACAACTGCTCTCTTCCACCAACTACACATCAATCAGACAAATCCATTTTAATTTTGTACTTGTGAAAGTTGAGCTAGCATAGAGAGAAATATGGCTCATCATGAAGAGTTGAAAATTAAAGCCAACATTTTCCATCAAATAAATCGGTGTTTGTGAAACTGTAGCAATCCGACTGAAAAAATCTCTTACAAGTTTCTAAATTGGTAGGTGGTTGTTAGAGGTATAAAAAGATTGAACTACGGTTTAAGCACAAAATATTTTACTGTTAATTTTTTTTAGTACATATAACTCTCTATATAATTTCACAATCCTTGATCCTTACACTACGCTCCGTAATTAGAACTATTTGATCCAATTTTGGTTAAAATCGTATAAGTAATGGTCCATTTTTATGGTTACATTTTCTTCGGAAATGAAAATCTAAATCGAGTTAATCCTCTACAGTTTAACCGGATAAGATCTCTTTCCACCTCTAGCAGTTAGGTTGGTGGAGTTGAGCTAGAACTTGGAGTGCCCTTAGCAATTCCTTTGGTTTCCTTTATTGAATACAAATTTCAACTATGTCATCTCCTCTCCCTTACTCTTTAGTTGCTTCAAGACCCCTTCAAACATGCATATAATGGAACCTACAAAGCCCCTTCAATGACTCTCTTAGCTTTCTTTGCATGCCATTGCCAACAAACAATGGACCACCATCAATGCATCCCACCCTTCCAATAAGCCCTATCTTTGTACTTGTGAAAGTTGAGCTACCATAAAGAATCAAGGTTTGGTCTAGTGATAACATCACTAGTTTCGAACTTGAAGGTTTTAGATTCGAATCTCTTAATTGTACTTACATAAAAAAAAACTAATATCATCCTTATCAATATAAAAAAAATTGTCTAGCACAGAAAGAAAGACGGGTCTGGAATATTGCAACAATTTGGCAAAGGCAACAGAGCACGACATGAAAAGGTTGAAAGCGAACATTTCCATCAAATAAATCGGTGTTTGTGAAACTACAACGAATTTATCCCAAAAAATCTCCTTTCGGAGTCTAAATTAATCGACAGTTGTTAACGACATAAAAAGGTTAAACTACGGCCTAAAGACAAAATGCATGGATGTTGATTATTAAATTTTTTTTTTGGGTAAAAATGTACTCTCGATACGGTTTCAATCCTTACACGTACGAACCTTACCGCCCCCCACCCAATCTCCTCCCGACGGGATGGGATTAGGTGCTAACCCTTATAGGGGGCATAGTTAGTAAAATACGGTACGGGAAAGTTACGGATATAATACGTACGGGTATTTTACTTCATTTCTAAGCTAATGTTACGTTTAATAGTACGTTAATAGTCATAAATATATAAAATAAATTATTTTTTAAAATAAATAAATATATAAATAATAGTAAAGTTAACAATTTAATTCATTAAATACGGATATAAAACGTGTTATACGGATTTTATACGCGTTTAGTACGGGAGCCACCAAATGAACGGACAAAAATGAAACGGCTTGACAAAAATACGGATACGGAAGTTTTAAACGGATAAAGTACGTAGGGGTACATATACGTGTATTAAACGGAGTATTTACTAACTATGATAGGGGGTTAGCACCGTGATAACTAGCAAAAAACGCTACTAAAAACAACGAAATCACTACGGATTATTATAAAATCAATACAACATCTAAGCTAAATCACTACTAACCCTTGGTTAGAACGGTGCTAACTCTTGTACAATTAGCACCGTAACCCGTCCTTCTCCCGAGTCCCGACACTTGTAATAAGTTTTGAAAGTACATATTTCAAAACTTAATCAAAGAATCAAATCTTTGACATCACTAGCTAGCTATCTGTCAGCCGCGTGATCAATTATATAGGCGAGAATAAAACTGTTGCATCAAAATAATATGATGGACCACCAAATTAATCATGCCCCCAAGAATTGTGAAATTAAGTTGACATAGGAGTGGGCAACGGCAAATATATTAACCGTTTTTAGTATTTTTAATTATAAAATTTATGTGTTATGGATGCCACATTTTCTACCACTTCAACAAAAGTTAACATTGCTTTAATCACCGTTTGGTCAACCGTTATCTCTAACGGTCAATTAAAGAGTCATGACATAAATAGCACAAATTATCATATAACGGGATAGGATTAGAACATTGAATAAAATAGTATACAATTAACATTTGTTTTATATTTCAAACGTTGTACTGATATTAGTCCTTAAATAAAATACAACATTACAAACAAAATAACAAATCATCATATTAGAATACAATATTTCATGTTTAATTATAGCTTGCAATTTTTCGGGGATTTCAACGATGGTATTTATATAGGAGTGGGCAAGGGGACGAGACTGGGTACTCTTCTCGTTTGAAACGGGCACCCAGTCTCATTTGGAGAAGAAACTTCATCTCATGTCTCAAATCCGTACGGGTTAACGGGTACTCATTACCCGTACGGAAGGGATAATGGGTAACCGCGGAGAATCCATAAATTTGGGTGGT